ACTACTCAAAATCCTGAAATGACTGGACAGGTGGAAACCACTGGCAGGGCAGAAGCCGATTTCCAGAGCTTCAGAGCAGAGTCAGGCTGTGCTGGCGTCTTTTAAGAAGTTGATTCTGAGAAACCTTTCTTCTATGATCATTCCTATTTTTAGAACCATTTCACACCTCGGGAGCCTCTACTATCCTTCCCTCCTTGAAGAGTTTTCCACTGACTTGTCAATGTTCTTTTTATGGTCTTTATTAGTTTGACTTTTTCCAACAAAGTATTTGATTTTGACCTTTTTTTTTTCTTTTTCTCTTTAAAGCATTGAAATATTGATAGTGGTAAGCAGGAGCCTCCAAGAGATGAATATTTGCTTGTGTACATAAAAAGCAAGTTGGCCATTGCTTCTGCCTCCAGGCTTTTAAGTTAATATAGACAACTTTGTAGAAGATCTTGTAACAAACCAAATGAGCCATTGAAAGCAAGCCATTTATTTTAGCCATGAACTTTGATGAACTTTGTTCTGTTGCTTGATAACAATCAGAGCCTAGGAAACTTATAAATAAAATTATTCTATCCTTGAATATTTTGTCCCTTAAGGGCAGAGGTTTTGATCAGGAATACCTGGGTGGCTCAGTCAGTTAAGCATCTCCCTTCAGCTCAGGTCAGGATCCCAGCATCCTGGATCAGGCTCCTTGCTCACCAGGAAACCTGCTTCCCCCTCTGACTGCTGCTCCCCCTGCTTGTGTACTGTCTCCCTCTCTCTCTCTCTCTCTCTCTCTCTCTGACAAATAAATAAAATCTTTTTTTAAAAAAAGATTTGGACAACCCACAAATATACAGTCATATAAACGCACCAAATAATTTAAGGGGGAAATTAACATCTTTTCAACAATTGCTGCTAGAACAATTGGAAGTCCTCATGAGACAAACAAACAAACAAACAAACAAAAAAACCTTCAACCCCTACCTCAATTCTAGGTACAAAATTAATTTGAGATAAATCATAGACCTAAATGGAAAAGCTTTAAACTATAGAGGTTTTAAAGGAAAATATCTCCAAGACTTCAAGTGGTCAAAGGTTTCTTAGTTCACAGAAAGTAATAACCATAAAAAACAAGTTTGTAAATTGAACTTCATCAAAATTAAAAACTTCCGCTCATGGAAAGACAATGTTAAAACATTAATGGGCAAGCCACAGGCTGGAAAAAAAATGTTCACAACACATATATCTGGTAAGGGAACCTGTATCCCAAATATGTAAAGAACTCCTAAATTCAATAAAAACAAGACAACCCAATTTTATTCTTTTTAAAGATTTGTTTATTTGACAGAGAGCACAAGCAGACAGAGAGGCAGAGGGTGGGGGGAGTAGGCTCCCTGCTGAGCAGAGAGCCCAATGTGGGGTTCAAACCCAGGACCCTGGGATCATCACCTGAGCCGAAGGCAGAGGCTTTAACTCACTGAGCCACCCAGCCGCCCCTAGACACCCAAATTTAAAATGGGCCAGAAACTTGAACAGATACTTTGCAAAGGGACATACACAATGACTAAGGAGCACATGAAAAAGCGGTTAACATCATTTGTCATCAGGAAAATTAACTTAAAAGCACAATGAGACATTGGCTATCCACGCACTTAACATGACTCAAATTTTAAGAAACCGACACCACCAAATGTTGGTGAGAATCCAGAGCGAGCAGAACTCTCAACTGCTGCTGGCCATGCAGGAGAATTCACCTAATACAGAAAACAAAACTGTTTGGCAGTTCCTTACAAAGTCAAACATATCTCTACCCCACGTTATAGCAATTCCACTCTGATTTCTTTATCCAAGAGAAATGAAAACATGTTCACAAATTGTGTCTGCCGGTTTCCTTTCTCTGTATCTTCCCCCCCGTGCCATTTGCTTCTGGAATTCCTTTTCTCCTATTCCTGTCCCTCTGACTTCTGCATGTACAAATATTGTGCATCCTAAAATCCTGGTCTCATGGGACAGTCTTCAATGTGGCCCATGTCCAGAGTTGATCAGAAGAGCTGAATTGTATGAACCAAATTCCCAAGAGACTGGTTGATCAATCAGGATGCCAGTGTGTCCATTTGCAATGAGAAATCTAATTTCAAGCCACAGTGTTAGGTTCTCTCCAATGGTAAGGACCAAAATCGCTCTGGGAAATGAGATCACTTGAACTGATAGAGGTTTCATGGGAAATGCTAATGGACTGTTACCCTTGTGTGCACCTGGGATCTGTAATCTGTTTCTGACCAGTTCGAGAGGTTGCTCTCAGCTATCCTACTTAATGGGTTTATAGGTGGGTAGAGGAATGAAGGCAGGAAAATAGCCTCTTCCTCTCTGAAGGATGGTGGAAGAGTCCTTTCTTCTGTGAAAAACAGTATAATAGAATTGCGGGATTTGGGAAATTCATGAAAGACCTTTAGCTCCGTGCCCAGCTCAGACACCTTCTCTAGAATCCCTCTCCTCATATAAGTACCTGTGTCACCTTCGTATACACATTTTTGCTCTATTAAGACTATATTATAGGGGCGCCTGGTGGCTCAGTGGGTTAAAACCTCTGCCTTCGGCTCAGGTCATGATCTCAGGGTCCTGGGATCAAGCCCCAAATCGGGCTCTCTACTCAGCAGGGAGCCTGCTTCCCTTCCTCTCTCTCTGCCTGCCTCTCAGCCTACTTGTGATCTCGGTCAAATAAAGAAATAAATAAAATCTTTTAAAAAAAGACTATATTATAATGTTTGCATGTGTCAGGCCATAACCTATTCCATTAGAATTATGTCCTATACATCTTTTTCTCCCCAGTCCCAGCATAGTCCTTGGCATACAGTTGGGACTCAACAAATGTAGGTGGCATTAGCTAAGAGGCTGATTTTTTCACACTTTGGCTGAAATTTGAAACATCATCACACTATCTCAGAATGTTACTTTTTCATTATCATTTTAGAGTGAAGAGAACTGCAGAGGTCACTTGATCACAGCCCAGCTGTGAGGAGAAGGCATTCGTAGAAGTCACCACGCCTGGTGCCCATGTGTGGTCTCCTGGCTTTCCTGGCTCCTGGCTCCTGGTCTCCTGGCTTTCAGGTGCCTTTTCTCTTACACTTCTCTCCTGGGGTGAATTTCAGGAAAATTCATCGAGACTCCACCACATCCCACCTCAGAGATAGCCTTGTGTCTCATAGAAAGAACATTTTCTTTAATTTGTGCCTATACCTTCTTGCAGACCCTTCCCCAGATCATGCTGCCGTGATCTTAGAATGGAGTTGTGGGGAGAGTGGGAAGACCCTGCCTGTCCGCCTGGAACTCTCCAGGCCTGAGGCCAGTGTCCAGCCCCACGGTGGGGAGAAGGCTTCGCATACCACAGCCTCGGGGCTCCAGCAACTGCAGTTGCCTTGTGCTGGAACCCTCAGGGCCAGATGCTGAAGCCACTGCAATGGCAGTGAAGCCCGAGACCCTTTTTTTTTTTTTTTTTTTTAAGATTTATTTATTTGTCAGAGAGAGTGAGCACAGGCAGACAGAGTGGCTGGCAGAGGCAGAGGGAGAAGCAGGCTCTCTGCTGAGCAAGGAGCCCAATGTGGGACTCGATCCCAGGACTCTGGGATCATGACCTGAGCCGAAGGCAGCCACTTAACCAACTGAGCCACCCAGGTGTCCCCCAAGACCCTTCTTAAGGAATACTTTAAAGAATTATTTTAATTACTGTGCAAACCTTGTAACCTGACCAGGGGACAGTCATCTGTACTCTCCTACAGCACATATTTCTGAAACCCCATTTAGTGTGCGTGTTTGTGTGTGCGTGTGTGCGTGTGTGTGTGTGTGTGTGTGTGTGTGTGTGTGTGTGTCTCCTCTGCCTTTATTCACTCTCGGGCAAATGTGTATCCCTCTGAATGCCCTCCTGACAGCATGGGAAACTGATGACAGCGCTCCCTCTGTTACTCTCTCTTCACTCTACCTTTGTATCTCATTAGAACTTCTAAGCAAGTCGTTATTTTTCAGTAGTTTTGGGAACCGGGCAAGAGAGAGAGTGTTAAGCTTGCCTGTGGCCAGGAGAGATATTTAGAAGAGCATTTACCTTCCATTCGAACTAAACCAGTCATTCTCAAACTTGCTGCTCGTTGGAACCACCCTGGGGAACTTCAAAAACTAATGATGCCTGGATGTCAGCCCAGAGGTCTGATTTAATTGATCTGGGATGATGCCTAAGCATCTGGGTTTTTGTTTTTGGTTTTTTTACTCCCCAGATTATTTCCATGTTGAAAACTACTGAAAAAAAAAAAAAAAAATCCTCATTCCTCCTCCTACTCTGAAAAAGTTGAGCTCTCAGCCCAAATCGGTGATCCAGGGGATCTGACACCTGTCACTTCACCTTGGGCTAGCTCTGCAGGATCTTGGAAAATCCGCGCGCGCGACGACGCTAAACACGTGGCGGCGGGGCGGGCGGGGCGGGTGGGGCAGGCGGGCGGTGCCGCGCGTGGCTCCGCCCCTGCACGCCTATCGGCGCGCGGTGCGGGCCCTGACGTCACTCTTGTCAGGGCCGCGGCACATGGGCGGCCGGATGCGCTGAGCCGGGCGCTGCGGGGCCGCGGAGCGCGGGGGAGCAGCGGCCGCCGGCGCGGGGAGGGGGGTGGGGTGGGACGGCGCCCAGCCTCGGGTGCTGGCGCGTGGGGGCCGGGCCGCGCGGTGCCTTCCGCCCTTCTGCAGCCATCTGCATATTTTTTCTTTCTTTTTCGCAATTTTGAACATTTTGCAGGACGAGGGGTTCGAGGCAGGTGAGAGCATCCTGCACGTCGCCGAGGAGCCCGCGGGCGCTTGGCGCGCTCTCCGGGGACCATCTGCACTGGGAACCCGAAAGTTTTTTGTTTTTATTTTTTTATGCAGATGTATTTATAAAGATATAAGTAATTTTTTTTCTTGTCTCCACCGCCTTGAAAGCGAGTACTTTTGGCAAAGGACGGAGGAAAAAGCTCAGCAACATTTTGGGGGGCGGTTGGGCTTTTTTTTTTTTTTTAAGAAAAAAATTTGAGTGCATCGCGATGGAGAAAATGTCCCGACCGCTCCCCCTGAATCCCACCTTTATTCCGCCTCCCTACGGCGTGCTCAGGTCCTTGTTGGAGAACCCGCTGAAGCTCCCCCTTCATCACGAAGACGGTGAGCGCTGCCTTCCTGGCTGCCCCGCTCTGGGAAGGAACGACGCTCCTGGGGTCCCTTTCCTTGGCCGGGCAATCCTGCTGGAACATCCATCCCCTCCCTCCCTGTCCCCTGGCACCCTATCCCTGCTTTGTTGAAATTTGAAGCGCTCACCCATCACCCCCCTCCTCCAAAGGGGGGGGGGAATCCCCTCACTGAGCAACGTTTAAAATAGTGCTGGGACCGACCCAGGCTCTCTGGGTCCCGGTCCTCCGGCGCAGGTGGGAGTCATAACTTGACAGGTCAGTGCTCCCTAGATTGAGGCTTCCCCGCACGCAGAGTGAAACCGCCTGCGCGAGGGCAGAGCTTCGCGGGCTGGGGAGGAGAAACCAGAGGGCCTGGTTCTGTTGTGGCGGGGAGAGGGGGGTCCCGCAGCGTAGCCTGTGTATTGGTTCGTGCTACTGTGTGTGTGTTAGTTGGCGTCCGGAGCTCGCGAGGTGTGAGCGGAGCCTCGTGCTCTCCCTGCCAGGGGTAATTCAAAAAGCGGGGTGGGGGCTGGAGCTGGCGGGGGGGAGTGGTCTCCGGGCGGGAAGCTGTGCACGCCTCCAGCTCTGACACTTTCCCCGTGCACTTTTCCTGGTGGGAGGGGAGAGCGGAGTAGGCTCACGTGTAACCGCGCTGGAGCCTCCTCTGGCTTGAACCCTATCGTGGTAAGTCCCAAACCTCCCCCAGGCAACCTTGGCTGGAGCGGGAGAGGAGGGGTCGGGGCGAGAAGGCGCCCAACCGAGCTCGTGCCGCCAGGGATTTGTCAATTGGGCTGATGCGGTTTCATGCCTTCGATGTCACAGTAGCCAATGCGAACCGTGCGGCTTTGAGTGTAAAAGTCTTGAAAGATCATTTGGCTACAAATAGCTTGGGAGTACTCGCATCTTCTCTTCTAGCAGGGGGACAACTTGTTGCTTTACAAGAGTTGAGGGGTTTGGTTCGCCTTCTGTAAAGTATAGCTTCCCTTTTAACTCTCCTTTAAGGAGTAGCACTTGGGAGGAAGGTGCTGCCTGCAGTCTTTTGCATCTGTGGGTGTTTTAAGTCAAATTCTCAGGAGATGAGACTAGAGGATTAGAATGGATGGCAGCGGAGGCTGTGTTTCTCTGAGGAAGAAACTCAGAAGCCAGATTCCCTAATCCCAGATTCCACCCCCGCCTGAGTACTAGAATGGGCAAAATCCAGAGCAGGGTTTAAAGACAACCTGGGGTGAGAGGTTCTTCCAGGTAGGACAGAGCTGCATACCTCCCTTAGTGGTATGTAATCACCTTTCCAATAGCTGTGCTTTTGACAGATTGCATACATGTGTAATTTTTGTGAATTGGATCATACTTAAGCTTTGGGGAGGGGGAGGGGAAAAAAAGGCAAAACAAAACAAAACAAAAACCCTCCTTTTGTAAAATACAATGTGCCCCAGTGGCTTTCTAAACAAACATATGAAGGCTCGGGAAATTCTCAGTTTTCTCTTCTGTCAGCATGAGGCATTGGTCAGTTCCTTTAGGTCTTAGAGCCTCTGTGTCTTCCTTACAAATGGGGATAATAGCTCTTTGCAGGTTTATTATGAGATTTCTGGAGGCAATATGTGGAAAGTATCAGGTATATAGTAGGCGCTCAATGCATGCTTTCAAAGGAGGGTGGAGAGTCCCTACTTTACCAAAATTAGAATCCTCAGCTCACTGGCTAAGTCTGAATGACCTCATATTGTTACTGTAATGAATTTCCTGGAAGAGAAATCATGCCTGGTTATTGGCTGTTTTCTTTAAAAATCACAGCATTTGTATGTAACTGCAGGTGTTACTTTCTAACTGTAGATCTAAATTATTTGTCTCCTCAAATCATGTACTTGAAAACTGCATTCCCTTGTTTATATCCTAGATCAGCTTGTAACCCTGTCCCCAGGACTAGGACTAGAGCTTTCTTTCCAAAGTAAATAGGAAGATGTTGAAAAACAGGCAGAGATCCATGTCCTGTCTGAACTTTTAACTCTAGATCCACAAAAGCCAGCAGCCAGAGAAGAATCCTGGTGTCTGTGAGAACATTTTGAACGTGGTGTTTTGTAGCAGAGGCCAGGAGGGGTGATTTAAAAAGCGACACTTTTTTTTTTCTTTTTTAAAGTCCAAATTTCCCCCTTTTCTGCAGCGTTTAGTAAAGATAAAGATAAGGAAAAGAAGCTGGATGATGAGAGTAATAGCCCAACGGTCCCCCAGTCGGCGTTCTTGGGACCCACCTTATGGGACAAAACCCTTCCCTATGACGGAGATACTTTCCAGTTGGAATACATGGACCTGGAGGAGTTTTTGTCGGAAAATGGCATTCCCCCCAGCCCGTCCCAGCACGACCACAGCCCTCACCCTCCCGGGCTGCAGCCGGCTTCCTCCGCAGCCCCCTCCGTCATGGACCTCAGCAGTCGGGCGTCTGCACCCATTCACCCTGGCATCCCATCCCCGAACTGCATGCAGAGCCCCATCAGACCAGGTAAATTCTACAACGATTCTCCCTTCAGATGGGGAAGAGGGTGAAAGGGAGAGACAGGGTGGGGGCGGGGGGGGGCACAAATACCCTCACAGGGAAGTGGGCTGGCCTGAAAGAGGAAGTTTGTATTTCACTCACAGCCCTGATCGTCCCACATCAGTGGGCATCCATATGTCCGGGAGAGTCAACTAAATGCAGATTCTGTGGACCTCCTCTAGAAATTCAGATTTTTCAGGGCTGGGGTAAGGGCCCAGGAATATGCATTTTGAACCCCGGGGAATACTGATGCAGCTGATCTGAGGACAGCATTGAAGAAACCCCAGCCTACAGTGAATGGTTTAGATACTGTAGGCACCCTTCTCTCCTGCCCTTTGGTCTCCTCCCCAAATACACAGATACGGGATCTCGCTGAACGATGTGGGTAGACTCTCTCCAAGGCTGTGTGTGGTTCACCTACATTCATTTTTCTCTCACCTGGAAGGGAAAAAAATATATGAGTTAGGGGTGTGGGTCCGATCACCTTTTTAACCTTTTCCTCTTGCATTCTCCTTGATTGAGAAATTGAATGTAAAAGCTCCTCTCCCTGTTAAGCTTGGTTTAGCCTTCTTCAGGGCCAGAACCCCATTATTCCTATAAACCAAATTGTTCTTCCAGTATCTTTTTTTTCCATTTTCATTTCTTCATTACACTTAATCCATGTCTGGAAGCCTGCAAGGTCGGCTGTAAGCGGTGTTGAAATACTACATAAAACATCACCCGAATTGTCCAGGACTTCAAAACCTACTGCTCAGTGCTCAGATAGAAACACAGGCTGAGGTGGATTGGCCCTGGCTTCATGCTGTTAACACTCTGTGGTGCAAAATGAACAGGAAAAAAGCGCATTTCACATGCACAGGTAACCAGGAACAAAGATTGAGCCAGAAAAATTGCCAGGAAGGTCACTGAGCTGAGGTCCTTTGCTGCAGGGGACACAGAAAGCAGGACAATAGAGGACTTGTGCTGGAGATCATTCCTGAACTCCGTGTCCTTGCCTCGTGTAGAATTTCTGTGACATGCAGAGCAAGACTAAAATGGAAGGAAATGATTCAAAGGAGGAAACGAACACCTCTGCCTTGAAATATTAGTACCGGCGTTCAGGTCTTTGTTTCTGTGCCAGCCCCCTTCTCCAGAACCTACTTTGAGTGATAACTCAAGGCCGCTGGCTGGAATGGAATTAAATCTTAACCTCTTCCCAGCCCAGAAGGGTGCAGAAGCTGGGAAATATACTCCTTGGTGTGACCCCAAGCCCCTTATTCCTTGCAGTGCACAGAGCCATGGTTTTGTTTCTTCCCAGGAACAGATAATCAGTTGAATAAACATTGAAACCAGGGAGAAGGGGCTGGAGCCCCAATGAGAAGGTGCCTCATATCTCAGTCGCTCTGCTCTGCAGAGTGAGACTTAACCACTTTGTAGCTTTAGGAAGTGATGTTACCTCTGAGAGCCTCAGTTTACCTTTGTATAGAAGAGTATAATTTTTATAAGATTGGGTTAATGTGAAAGTTACATGTAGTATGTATAAAGGGTCCAATGACTAGCAGTAGATGTTCTGTTAATGAGCAGTAGTCATTGTTGTACCCGTGTCGACTTTTATCATTGATTTCAATCCTGTCTTCTGAAATACCTTCTTAAAATACTTAGGAACGGTATATAACCCTCCCCCCTTCTGGAAAGAAACATCAAGAGATTTTGGCCGATAGTTACTGGATTGGTGCGTACCAGTCCTAACACTTAATTTCTCCATCCCCTGGCAAATACAAGATGTTTGCCAGGTTGGAAATATGTATTTTTTTCCCCAAAGGCAGGTAAATATTGAGTCCCCACATCTTGGTTCCTACTGAGAATCAAGAATTAGGGTTTGAGATTTGGAAGCTTCCTTAGAAGCCATTTGTCAGGGCTTTTAGAATCAGTGCTGACCAATGACTCTCAAAAACTTGGCGTGCCCCTCCGCATTGCTCTAGCTCCAATGTCCACAATAGCCAAACCCTGGAAAGAGCTCAGATTTTCATGGACAGGTGAAGGGGTAAAGAAAATGTGGTATGTATATACAATTGAATACTACTCAGCCATCCAGAAAATGAGATCTTGCCATTTGTAATGACATAGATGAAACTAGAGGGTATTATGCTAAGTGAGATAAGTCAGTCAGAGAAAGAGAATTATCATATGATCTCACTTATATGTGGAATTTAAGAAACAGAACAGGGGCTTAAATGGGAAGAGGGGGGAAAATAAAACAAGATGAAATCAGAGAGGGAGACAAACCATCAGAAACTCTTAATCATAGGAAATAAACTGAGGACTGCTGGAGGGGAGGAAGGTGGGGGGGGATGGAATAATTGGGTGATAGACATTAAGGAGGGCACTGGGTAGTCTATAAGACTGAATCACTGATCTCTGCTTCTGAAACTAATAATACATTATATATTAATTAATTGAATTTTTAAAAATACAAAAATATAGCAATATTAAATATAATATTTGGGAGGCAAAAAATAAATAAAATCTGCCTAAGAATAAAAGAATAAAATTTTAAAAAATCACTTGGGGTGCCCCAATCAGATTTGCAAATGGTGACAAAGAACTCCTGAGTTTCAGCAGAAATCATTTTGTTAGGTTACAGGGGAAAGGTACTAGGATTAAAGAGGGCACTGGAATCTAGAAATAAGTTCTTCATTTAAATGTCTTTTTTTGGAAATGGAAACATACTTCAAAATAATCTTCACATCGAAAACTCAGTACTACTCAATACTCCTCACAAGAAGGGGGAAAAACCTGAAGGTCTTCTTCAAGTGCCAAGTACAGAGACAGTAACACTCTTCCATAACAACTCATACCGTGTTGGTCATTATAAAGCTTATAATGCAAAATAAATGTCTAAGGGATGTGGACATGATGGATGGGTGATATGTCCCAAACAAAACTGAAAAGGAAGAAAGTTTTCGATCGTTCATGTAATCACAGTCGTGACCAGAACAGAAATACCAAGTTAATTTTGAGGAAAAGAAGTCTCCAGAAGGGAAGAGCACGTGTGTAGCCTCGAGCATTCTGGGAACTGGATCATTTCAGTCTAGATCAAGATTTCTCAACCTTGGCACTGTTAAGGTTTCGCATAAGTCTTTGCTGTGGGCCACTGTCCTGAGCCTTGTAGGATGTGCAGCAGCGAGCTGGCCCCAAGCCCTTGAATGCCAGTCACTCCCCCCCCTGCCCTGCCCCTGCCCTGTGACAAGTAAAAATGTCTCCAGTCACTGCCTGCTGTCCCCCAGGGGGCAAGATCACCCCTGCTGGGAACTACTGATAGAGACTTTGAATTTGGACAGCAAAATCTGGGCATAACTCGGTATCCTGTCACACGCACATGGATGCTTTTAGCCTCCTGTAATGCTTTCTGGCAAAACTTTTGAGAGGGTCAGGCAACATTAGGTTGCCAAGAAGAAAGATCACGTTAATAAGAGCATGGTTAGAAGCTGCTAGTTGATGAAACTATGACGTCCAGCAAATCGGGAGATAATTGCAAAGTAATTTTATTAAACATTTGATTTCTGTATTTGCTCAGCATGCAGTTTTTGAGTTATGCTCAGTAGCCTGGTGTCACGAGTGCCACCTTTCTGGTTGAAAGGAAATTAAGCCATAAGCTGACAACTAATGCACTTCTAGGTCTACCCCAAGTGTGTCTTGGAACGACAAGGTGAGCGCTCTTACTAATTATCTTAGCGCTTACCATCATGGCCCCCCAGCCCCCTTTCTGTTTTGTGCCCCCCATCCTTATTCCTCCTTCTAGCTGTCTGATCAAAGAATAAATCAAATATCTAAGAAATGCAGTTTTCCTTGAAGAAATAACCCAGGGATCCCCCCCACCAGCCACAGGAGGTGGGGCGATGGCTCAGCTGGCTGGGCTGACGTCTTGATGAGGAAAGAGTGGTGGTTGCTGGCTGCTGTAGCCACCTGCACCATCTTCTCTGGCATCCAGGGTGCCACATTCCGGATGGTCTCAGGTCAGCGGAGATGGCAGGAGTCATCCTGACCGCTGTGAAGTTTGCCTTTTAGATCTTAACAGAGATGGTACCCGGGAGTGCTCTCCTGGAGGTATGCGCTGGGTACGGAAAAAATAAGAATCTGTTTGCCCAGAGAATTGAGCGATTGCTTTAAGGACAGCAGTCCCTTTAGGGAAAGTCATCTGTAGCAGACAAAGGCAGAGTTATTTTTAAATCACATGCTTGTAAAGCCAGATTTGAAATCATTTCCTCTGGTGGTTTTTCTTTGAATAGCTTGGGGGTGTCCTACCCCTGTTAGACCCATATTCAGCTGAGAATTATGAAGGCTGTCTTTCTAGTTGTGAGCACAGAGAGCGGGTCATGATGAAGGCTGGTTACGGAGTGAAGTGAAAACCCTTCCATGTGGTGGTGTGTGGGAAGAGGAGGGCATAAGTGGGCGGCCGATGAAGGGTTGGGAGGTGTGGGAGAACCCATTGTACCTTTGCAAGATGGCATGTGTGTTCTGTTTCTGCTGACCTTCCTTCATGATCTGGTTTTGGCGTGGAAGGAGCATGCTGGCCGTGGGGTCTGAGCAAGGACGGAGGGGAGTTGTGTGCTGGTGGGTCTGGGCTTGTGGGAGGTCCTGCCCAGGCGACAGGATTCTTTTGCTTTTCTCAACATCAGGAGATGAAGCTTCAGTTTCTCCCTCCCCTTCAGGGCGTGCAGTTCTGTATTTTCCCCTCCAGCACACTGAGATGTCTGCAGGTTGGGAGCTTCGTGATGGATAGTTGCTGTGCAGCGCACCTCAAGTATCTTGGAAGTGTTCTGCATTCATTGGGATCAAGGACATCATGAAGGGGAGAGAGTCAGCTTTCTTCTGGAGGGAGGCAGCTGTTGTGTTTCTTGAGAAAGTGTATCTTCCTCACCATACCCTGTAAAGGACAGGCTTGTCATTGTCTCTTCACTTTGACCTGTTGTCACATTCCCAGGACA